AAGCATCTAAATTGCCAGCTAGCAGATTTTTGTTGATTTCATCTAACTGCTACTAATGTGGTAGAATTTTGGTGATGAAAATAGTCACTTTGTAACATACATTTAAGTTTTATCTGTATTATATCTATACCTTTGTTTAACTATAAATATATTTTCATAAGTTTGATTTTTTGAAGATTTATTTTACTCCGATTTATTTTACTCATTTAGCTGTGTGCTTCAATGCTGTAGCCATTCTAAAATCCTTATGTAGAATTTAGATGTAGATGTTATGGTTAAATAGTTATATATAACACAACCTATGTTTTATTGATATAGTTTAAAATCACACATCATATCTTTTTAGCTCACCAGAGCACTTAGTGCTCGCAGGTGTATTTTGTGATTACAAGTGTGTCTGTCATTCTTCACTGTTCACAATTTCCTTTAACAACATCTCCTTCTTAACCACTCTGGCTTTTGATCAACCTTTACAGGAATGATTGTTAGGTGGTCTTTTATAATAAGTGGTTCCAATCGGATCACAGAACTACAAATACATCTTAGAAAATCTTCTTTTCAGAAACTAGAATGTTCAGTGCTTGAATATTTGAAATGTAGCATCACCTTGCTGTCCTCTACAAAAATTATATAAATCTTGCTTTTGGGGTCAAAATTTGCCCACCCTTAGGGGTCACTTGGTTTAGACATACATAGTACAACAATAAATTATGTAAGTTTTTTTGTGTGACATTACAATGCCAAGAGCTGAGATATTTGTCATGAAGTATTAAGTAGCTAATATGTACAAATATTTTTTAATTTATGCAGCTAGAAGAAAAAAAAAGACAATTTAAATGTGACCTCATTACTGGCTTTAAGCTTCTCTAGCAATGTATCTTTGGTGAGCGATCCAGGGTCATCATGGGTCTCTTGTTATTATCCCCCGCCGAAAGGCGGTGGGGGATATAGAAATAGTCTCCGTACGTCCGACATTTTTGTCCAGAGCATATCTCAAAAAGTATTTGAGATATCAACTTGAAACTTCATAGGTGGATGGATCTCATTGAGGAGGAGTGCAGTGCACAAGAATGATAACTCTTCCCTGCATATGTTTTGAGTTATTGCCCTTTGTTATTTTTCAAAATTAATTTTTGTCCAGAGCATAACTCAAAAGGCCTTTGAGATATCAACATGAAACTTCATAGGTGCATATATCTCACTCAGGAAGTGTGCAGTGCACAAGAATGATAACTCTTCCCTGCATAATTTTTGAGTTTTTGCCCTTTGTTCTTTTTCATACTATTTAGTCCGGAGCTTATCTCAAAAAGTGTTTGAGATATCAACTTGAAACTTCAATATGGATAGATTTTACTGAGGAGGGGTGCAGCACACAAGAATGATAACCTACCCTGCATTATTTTTCAGTTATTGCCTTTTGTTATTTTCAGCCATCAGTATTCACATAGGTTTCAAATCTGTAATCACTTCAGCCATTAGTTTTCATTACCAAAAGACCTCTTAAAATTGAATTATTCTGCTCTACTACATATACATTCTTCTAATGAGCAAACACATTCGGCGGGGGATGGCCATGTTGACATGGCTCTTGTTGATATAGTTTTTTGCACCATTTTATTTTCACTTTGTTTTGATTGTTGCTGCCAATTAGTAAGGGTCTAGTCAGACTTACGCATGTGTAAGCTAGCTTGACCGATACTGGTGGTATCATTGTGTAACTAATACTCAATTCAAGGTTTTAACCCATGTGAAATAGGTACACATCAAGTTTAGAAAAAAATAATAGCCATCTTTCTCTTTAGGTTTTACTGTCTTAACATTCATGTCTATTCATTCATATTATTTCGTTTTTTTGAGTTCTACTTGTGACACCCATTTTCAGGTTCAAAGGTCATGGTCATTAGGACTTGTGATATAAAAACATGAAACTGGCCATTAAAACAAAGTGTCTTTAAATTTGTATGTGAGATCCCCCCACTTCTATTATCAGGTCAAAGGTTGAAAGGTCAAGGTCACTGGGACATGCAATAACAAAACATAAAACCGGTCATTAAGGCAAAATAAATTGACCTTTGTATAAAGATACACCTGTATGACTTCTACCACCATACTTACTAACTCAAAAGGTCAAAGGTAAAGTTCACAATGACTTGTTACAGTTGATTGAAATATTGTTAATGGGTCATAACTTCAATTATGACTTTGAAACTTTATATGAATATATATCCTGACCAGTTCTGCCTGTCAAGCCCATTTACGCGTCCAGAAAAAGGTGCAGTTAAGAAATATGGAGTGTGCTGCTCCTGAGACAGCTCTTGTTTATTTTATTATTATTTTACTTTGTTAAATATTTGTCTAACAATTTTGCTTTTATACTTGCATTGTTGATGTTTAACAAACCAATATTTTTGGTAGTTCAATAAATGTTGGTACATTTTTTACTGTTCTTTATTTAACCTTTAATCTACCGACTTTATATAAATTGGTTCTATAAATTGGTTCGTCCGGTGCTGTTTTATTTAGAATAGTCCATACCTAGTTTATAAAGGAATGTCAATGACACAATAGAAAGAAGCCATCCAGTAAGCTCAATAGCTAGGTAGAGCGTGATTCCGAATGGTGCAGGTGACTTTCTTTGTGATTGATCATCAAATCCTTTCTACGGTCATTTGCACTGTACCTTTGCTCTAGCATGTACTGAAGTTATCAGTTCCTTGCGAAAGTGAAGGCAAATGGTACTGGTAAACTGCTTGACAGCCTGCCCAGGAACCATGCTGAACTGTGATCTTGTAAGTTAAATGTGACTTACCTGCCGTGATCTGGTAAACCACAAACATCACAATACGAAGGTTTTGAATATTGACATACTTACGGCAATCAAACGAATTCAGTTTGTTCTATTTTGTTAAAAATTTAAAAAGGGAATGTATACATATATAATTATGGAAATGAGGCTCAGGAAATGTCATCGGAATCCATCGATGGGTTGTAGAATATTGACCCTTGGTTACTGAGTAATACTTAATACCGCACCAAATTCTCTCGCGACCCTTTGCCCTCAAACGGTTTAATAACATAATTAAGATGATATGCTATCATGCATCAGCATAAAACCTTGTTGCCAAAAACTTAACTGCCATCACAATTACAGACAATTAAATTGAATTTATCTATAATAGAAGGTCTGTAAAACAATAAATATTTAATATAAATACCTTAAATGGGCTTGCCCATCTTTCAATCTGGACAAAACTATTTGTCATCATTAGGGGAAAAGTTCAAATAATATGTACTGACTAAATAGTGAACAGTGCAGGTGTACCATGAGCAGACTGCATGGATGTGCCGGATTGACTTCGTCTCGTGACAGATGGGTCTAGTATATATATGTTGCCAACCGCAGGCTAAGGGTTAATATACTGAGAGAACATAACTTCTTTTTTTTTTGCTTGCCTGATCGAAACTAGTTTACAAAATTAGTTTTTCCCCAATATGAAAGTTGCAATGTGTCACGTAATATGATTTTGATATACATATGTATCTTTATTTATTCTTTTTTCATCATGTAAATAAATCACTATTACTATTTGATTAGTCGTTCGTTTAAGTTGGTAGTTTGTCTTTCCTGACACAGTGAAGCAAGCGATGTGAATAGTCAAAAAATTGTTGCAAACCGGAAAAACTGAATGTTCCGTAGGTCAGTATGATATGAAATCAACGGAAAACTCCTGGAATTACGGCTATAATCACACACAACAAAGTAAAAAACAATATTTGGGACAATTCGTAATCAATGTAATACATGTAATATTTTTTAATCAATCTTAAGTTTCCAGGTATGGCTCATTAACAAATTACCACATAATTTGATATCGATTTGTAACAATGCAATACACTAGAAGTCACGATTTCAAAGTCAAATTTAGTGATTGAAAACCAAACATAGTGAACCACAACTACATTCAGTTGACTTCGATTAAAACTACTCTATCAAGAGGTCCTAACGACCACAACCCAACTCAGTCATTTTCGCCTCCCCTTACGATCACATTTTTTACGTAATAATGGACGTAAAAGTAACGTTAACGTGCTCAATCAAATAAAAAAAATACCACAATAACATGATCAATTTTGACAAAAATAACAAAAACAAAAACAACTTTATTACGTACTATGAGTTTAATTCGGTTTACTTCAGTTATTACGGTGTAGATAATTCGTTGTCTTATATCGATACAATGTCATTTTCTACACACTATATATAATTCATATAAAAAGTCCAGTCTTAAAAAGAAGAAAAATGAACGAGTAAACTCAACAATTTTAGTATAGAACTTTAAATGTATCTTAGAGAATCCATAATGAATCTCCGTGAGTTTAAACAATCCATGTAAATGAATAATTTACACGATGTACACGGTACGTTAACATTCAGCATTCAATAATTCATAATTACACAAAATATAATTGTATCCTTCAACATTTTATGATATCAATTACATGTATAACATTAGTTTCAAGAATGCTATGACCTCCGATATATAGTAACTCAAAACTGCAAATTAATAAGGTTTTGGGTGTATTAGGGTTGGTCCTCCTAGCCAATACGTTCAAAGAACTGAGGCCTCCATATATAGGTTGAGGTTAGCTAATGTATGATCTAAACAATCCTTAAAAAGCTCAAACCGCAACACTGGATTGATCTTATATGTATGTGGGAATTGATTGGTATAGATCGCCAATACGTCACTGAATATATGGACTTTTAAAATTAAAAGCCATTCCAGATAAATTAATGAAATAATTGTTTATGGTCCTCTTTTTTGTTTTTTACTTCAACGCGGTCCCTCTTTTTTTATTTAGAAATAAAGATGAAAGAGATTATTAAAAAATCTTATTTCAAAATATGAAAAATAATTAACGATATAATAAAAAGTGCACGTTATTCACGGGTTTTTTTTCGGGGTATTCCTCACAATATAACCATAGAAACAAATGATATATTTCTTTTATTTATTGACAGTGCCTTTTTACTCTTTTATGTAGATTATACGTTTTTTTGTATATTAAATCTTTTATGTTGTAATTTGTATTCAGCGGGACTACTCGTAAACAGCATTTTTCCTCAGGTATTTTAAATCTTTTTGAACGTTTGCTTTTAACAGTGTTTGCATAAATTAACATATTTTTTATTTCATTAAGAACTGCAGAAGAAAGTTAATGATGTTTAATTAAGAAAATGTAAAAATGTTATATACGATGTTAAATTTCTAAAAAATCTATTTTTTTTTCTAAAAAGAACTTATAAATATCAATCATTTTTTATTACTTTTGGCGGCAATCACGCCATTATTATACATATTGTTTTCAAGATTAATGTAGTGGTTGAAAATTATGATATAAATAATTTACATTCTGATATTTTGTCTGAAAATTTGAATTATTTTGCGTTCCTATATAATATCTGAAAATATATAATTTAGTTATTTTACATTTGAATAAGTCTGAAGATATAAAAAAAAAAGTTGGCATTCTAATTAAATGTCTGAAAATATTAATTACCAAGCATTCGATTGTAATGTGTTAGACATGATTCATTTAAGCATTTGAATATAACAAATGAAACTATAATTTATTAGCATTCGAATGTTAGCCATAATGGGTACTATGTAAAGTTAGTGTAGCCAATCAGAATCAACTCGTGAAAAGCAATATTTTTTTAAATACTTTTAAAATCATTTTTGCACGCGTATGTTTTAATCTTAACAAATATTGTCACTTTCTTTGTAAATATCAAAATATAATAAGATTGAATGCTGAGGACAGTATGCGTCAATCAAAACTGTTTTAATGAATTCCAGCGGACTAAGTCTACTACAATCATGAATAACAAGCGTCTTGCCACCATTTTCACACTCCTGATCATACAGAGTCTTTTTGAACCAAGTGTCAGTCAGGGATACGGAAGGGGAAGGGGAAGAGGGCGTGGTCACCACCATCATCATCATGACGACTACAGGGGCGGTGGCGGAGGTGTATTAGGAGGACTAGGTTTGTTTAAATCTTTGTATTATTATAAAATTGCACTGATGCTAAAATGAGTTCAAGAATATCCATTTAAAAATAAAGAATGTTGTAGACTTAATAAATAAATGATAAACCTTTTTTACTTGAAGTAATCATTAACAACACACATCAAAAGTGCTATACTTATAATTCAATACCAAACAAAAACTACGTATTGTTTATATAAAATACTTCCAGGAACTGTGCTAGGAATCGCTGGAGCAGGATTACTTGCTGGTGCTGTTGCAAGGGGAGCTACTCGTGGATTTGGTGAGGGAGGTTATGCGCAACCGTACGTACAACCAGTGCTTCCGGTTGGTTATGGAGGAGGCGCATATGGAGGAGGCGCATATGGAGGAGGAGGCGCATATGGAGGAGGCGCATATGCGGATCCCTATCTTCCAGACCAATATGGATCTCAGTATGTTGGCGGATACTCGTCTCCTTTTGTAGGCGGTGCGGCATACGGTGGGGGATATCTTTCGCCACGTGGCAGTCGAGTGACTACTCTTTCGGACAGGCTTTACTCCAATATATATTGAATGAATTTGAAATTTGTATGAGTACAATCATATTTAATTAAAGACAAATTCAAGATTGTTTTTCTCTTATTATCTATATACTCGTAAATACGTAATCAAAAAAATGTGCAATTACAAAACAAATATTTTTTGAACAATTTTGTGCGACGCTGAAAGGGTTAATTAGTTGTTACCATGTTTTTATAACGAATCTTAACCAAATTTGTTAGATTTAAATCTATGCATTTGTTATATTGTTTGCTTGCAATTGATCATAAACGGGAGAGGTCAGTAGAGATTTTCAATAAATATGGCCAACCGAAAGGTTTTGCTATTTTTGTTTATTTTCAAGCATTGCAATGTCATGTGATAAAGAAGTCTGACACTCGTCGTCATTTAATTCATAGAGACATGTATAGGCCTTTTTAACTCCGCCCAGAGACCACGTGATCATATATACCCGTGTACCATATAGCACAGTATACAACATATGTATAATATAATAGCTTATTGTTTACTTTTTATTACTTTCTCCATATATTGTGTTTTCGGTAAAACGTTGTAATCTGACACTACCCCTATCCCACACCGTCTCCAAGTGCCTGCTACTCGTACAACCTCAAAAGTTATAAATAAAAGTAATATTTCCAAATTTAAAATTCATAACAATTATAATATGGCGATATTATGTAGTCTGATTTTATTGACCTGTTAATTATTGCACTCATATGAATTGACAGGTTAATAAAATCCAACAATACTATCTTCTATATACTTCTATAGTGTTATTTCTACCAAAACTTTAAGTATATGCATACATTGAAAATTGTCTAATAGATGTAGAAAACTATGAATGAGACTTTTAAAAATAAACCAAGGTAAAATTACATGTAGTTTCAAAAATACCGAACATACAAAGAATATAATATTATGAACTTTTCTATACGTACTTTTCTTGTTCAGACGTTAGAAATACAAATTATACTTAATACAACGATTGCTACGTTTTCAATCTGATCAATATTTTCAGATTTAAGATAATAATACAATAAGTGCAATATATGTTTATAAGATGGATAATTCCAATTATATTCACTGATCCACGTCTGTCGTGTTATGTTTGTTGTGAAAATAAGTACAAAATGGAACTCCTTTTCTAGTTCACAAAATGAACATTATCTATGTCCAAAATCAATTATATCGTTCAACCTCAATCCATAAAATTGTGATGAAGATCGGAATTTGCTAAGACACTTCTAAATCTTTGATTTGCGGACTATAATTTTTTTCTGTGCAAACAATCATTTTTAAAATGGATATAATCAATCAGTTTCCCCAAATTGACAAAAAAAAAAACAAAAAAACAACAACAACAAACATGTTCAGTGATGTTATATCTTTTCGTCCTTCGCCGTCATTGAGTGTCGAAGATTGAAAACCGATTAGGCCTGTGCTAGTGGGCGTGAGAGAGTTGTACATTACTTAATCTCTTGTTGACAGACTCAATCAAACCGAGTGTGCAATTTCCATACAATATTGTTGTTTGCATTACTTCCGAGTTATCAACCACTTTTCCAGATTATTCACAACCAGGTGTTACGTGCCATGTGGCAGCTGTCAAAAGTTGCCTCGTACTTAAAATCTGTGTTGTTATATTTTTCTGGTCCTTCGGGATCAGTTTTTCTCCAGTATTGAAAATTGAAAACCGCTGAAGCCGGCGCCAGAGGGCTCAAGAGATGTTACGCATCAAACCGAGATAACATTGATGTTTTCATTGCTTCCCTTTTCTTATGAACCAAGTCATCAACATGTTTTAACAGATCTTAAGATATCTAGAAGGGTGCAGTGAATATTAATACGTTTCAAAATTTTGAAGTATGTTTATAAACCATTTGAGAATTCCATTTTATTTAGTTTCACCCATTGTTAAGTCGTTTTGGGCACACCCATATTTTTCACTTGGAGACCGACATACGCCACTTTTCATAGAATGGCACTTACGTGTCATTTAAAGGTTCCATGATCAACGCTGTATGAACACACCTGTGGGAGTTGAAAATCAAAAAAAAAAAAAATCATTTCATGAATTTCATTTTTTTGAACTCTGCTAAAGCCGGTGCTGGGGGCATGGACGGTAGCTTGCATTTATCAGTACCGTCAATGAATAGGCTCAATCAAACTAAGTCTGCAACATTTTCTATTTTGGGCGTTCTTTAGGGATTCTTATTTTCTCTATTTATAAGATATAATCCAAAACTATTCATACAGCTGATACTATGCCGATATACTTTTTTTATATATTTTCTTATGGTCCTCATCGAGGATTTTTGACATGATGAAACTGGAAAATTCTTTTCGAGATTAAGTTAACATTTGGTGTAGGTCTAGATCTATAACGCTAACTTGCTTTTTTTTCAGAATATTATTTTGATTTTGAAAAATGATCAAAAAAAGTGTTTAAACATTCTTAAAAGTACATTATGCCCAAGAAACAGATAAATTTGTCACTCTTTAGAAAAGGCAAACATGAGTTTTAAAAATACTAAATAATAGCTTAAGAGCATGTTAGATGTGCATTATTGAAACAAAGTACATTAATTTGTCAAAAAGTAGCAAAATGTGAACAAATTAGTATTTTGACTTCTATACAAAATACTAAATCACTATATAACTGGACTAATGATAAAAATAGCGACAGAAGCAAAGGCCATTGAGTAATTTTATGGAAACTATAACATGACACCAGAATAAAATCCTTTTGAGAAATATGAGTAAAAAGAACATTTCTAGGGCGCAATGGACCGTTAACTTAAATCAGACTTAAAATACAACTTTCAAATTTTCAATTTAATGCTGAGTACATTTCTTTATTGTATTTTTAATATCTTTGCGTTTTGGGTGCCCCCCGATTAGCCATGTAAAGAATGAATTTTAATGTTTTTAGGCTTTTGGACCTCAGTGCAGTCCCTTATATCGTCTTATCTACAGACATAATCGATCAGTAAAATAGAAACCAACATACGAAAAACATTTACTTTATCAACATTTATGTTTATCTAACATTATAAACCCCATGATTTTAGCAGTTATCCAACTTCCTCGTTGAAAAAAAAACAATTACAATACAAAATTCATAAATCAAAATCAGCCGAAGACCCACTACAGTGCTACATGGCCTGCTACAAAAATGAGCATATTATTTCAGTATTATCGGAGAACAATAGTTCTCCTTTAATAACATTATCAACTTATTTATAATTGAGGTGTTCAGTTATCAATGCCAGTGTAAGAGTAACAAAATATGTTGAACTTAATGTCATCACAAGCGTGATGGTCAGGATATGTTAAACTCGTTCCCCATGCGGCCTTTGAAATGCTTTGCCATCTCCCTTACACTTGATTGTCTTTTACTGCGGGTTCACGGAAAAGGGCGATAAGATGGAGGTCATTCTATGTTATTTGTTTGTTATAAAAAGAAAAGAGAAATCAACGCTGTTGCCACTTAATAGCTTATGTTAAGCTTAGATCTGTATAGAGGTTTTTCACATTACATGTCCCACTCCTTTCACCCTTATGTCCGCTTCTGGTTTTTTTGAGTGTGTCGGGGGCCGCGTCATGTGAACGTTGCCTTTGCCTTGTTGATCTTTATTCTTGTTTTTTTTTGCTACATTTGCTGAAATGAAAATCAAACGCAGAATCCCTAAGGAACGCCTAAAACGTCAAAATTGAAAATGTTACAGGTTAGATTGAGCCTGTACGTGGATGGTACTGGAACTTGCAAGTTACCGTTCATGCCCCTAGTACCTACTTAAGCAGAACTCAACAACGGTACAATTTTGAATTCAGAAACATCCGCAGATGTGTTCATACGGCGGATATCACGGAACCTTCAATGTGAAACGTTTGTGCAATTCCATAAAAATAAGCTTTTTTTGTACATGTACCGAGTCTGCAATTTTCATGTAATTTTGTTGTGATTGATGTTTCCAGATATTTGAATGTTTTGAGATGCGCCATGTCATTCAATTATATATTGAAATAAATCTTGCTATATATAATGCAGAGAACTATTTTAAATCCTCTAAATTATCACGATCAGCAGGATTTTCTTGGTATTGACATTTTTAAAGGTGTTGAATTTTAATATTCATTGTAATAACGACTGCAGTGTTTCTTGCAAAAGAATAATGAAATTCTCGCTTTGGAGATGTCTTTAGAGCAATGAAAATAAAAACATACAGTGGAAAATAGCAGACTCGGTTTTGTGTTTATATGTTGAATTCTGCTTAAGCCGGTGCCAGGGGGCGTGGACGGTAACTCGCACTTTCCAGTAACGTCCATGAACAGGCTCGGTCAAACCGAGCCTACAACATTGTCATCGTTTAGGGATTCTGTTTTTCTCTATTTTACTGTGTTCATTAGTATTCTCTATTTTACTGTGTTCATTAGTATTCTCTATTTTACTGTTTTCATTAGTATTCTCTATTTTACTGTTTTCATTAGTATTCTCTGTTTTACTGTGTTCATTAGTATTCTCTATTTTACTGTGTTCATTAGTATTCTCTGTTTTACTGTGTTCATAAGTATTCTCTGTTTTACTGTTTTCATTAGTATTCTCTATTTTACTGTGTTCATTAGTATTCTCTATTTTACTGTGTTCATAAGTATTCTTTATTTTACTGTGTTCATTAGTATTCTCTATTTTACTGTGTTCATTAGTATTCTCTATTTTATTGTTTTCATTAGTATTCTCTACTTTACTGTTTTCATTAGTATCCTCTGTTTTTACTGTGTTCATAAGTATTCTTTATTTTACTGTGTTCATAAGTATTCTCTATTTTACTGTGTTCATTAGTATTCTCTATTTTACTGTCTTCATAAGTATTCTCTATTTTACTGTGTTCATAAGTATTCTCTATTTTATTGTTTTCATTAGTATTCTGTATTTTACTGTTTTCATTAGTATTCTCTATTTTTCTGTGTTCATTAGTATTCTCTATTTTACTGTGTTTATTAGTATTCTCTATTTTACTGTGTTCATAAGTATTCTTTAATTTTACTGTGTTCATTAGTATCCTCTGTTTTACTGTGTTCATAAGTATTCTCTATTTTACTGTGTTCATAAGTATTCTCTATTTTTACTGTGTTCATAAGTATTCTTTATGTTACTGTTTTCATTAGTATTCTCTATTTTACTGTGTTCATAAGTATTCTCTATTTTACTGTGTTCATTAGTATTCTCTATTTTACTGTGTTCATAAGTATTCTCTATTTTATTGTTTTCATTAGTATTCTCTATTTTACTGTTTTCATTAGTATCTCATAAGTATTCTCTATTTTACTGTGTTCATAAGTATCCTCTATTTTACTGTGTTCATAAGTATTCTCTATTTTACTGTATTCATAAGTATTCTCTATTTTACTGTTTTCATTAGTATTCTCTATTTTACTGTGTTCATTAGTATTCTCTATTTTACTGTGTTCATTAGTATTCTCTATTTTACTGTGTTCATAAGTATCCTCTGTTTTACTGTGTTCATAAGTATTCTCTATTTTACTGTGTTCATTAGTATCCTCTGTTTTGCTGTGTTCATAAGTATTCTTTATTTTTACTGTGTTCATAAGTATTCTCTATTTTACTGTGTTCATTAGTATTCTCTATTTTACTGTGTTCATAAGTATTCTCTATTTTATTGTTTTCATTAGTATTCTCTACTTTACTGTTTTCATTAGCTTTCTCTATTTTACTGTGTTCATAAGTATTCTCTATTTTACAGTGTTCATTAGCTTTCTCTATGTTACTGTTTTCATTAGAGATAATGTTAAATTCTACATCTCTCATGCCCTCTCTAGCACCGACTGAAGAAGTATTAAATCCTAACAACTTAAAAATATTGGAACCAATTGAAATTCATCTGTATGGATGTCAAACATTATTTACCATCATAGACATATGTTCAAACTTTCTTCCAGATGATAGCTAGATATATAGTATTTAGTTTTCACGAAAGTAAACAAATTAAATTGTAAATTACGGCCTACTTAATTTAAATTGTTTAAAGATGGTGTACTTTTTTGTTGATGCTATTTTTTTTTTAAAGTAGGATGCCAATGCTGCGGATTTCTTTGTAGCGCTTAAAAATATACTTTACTTAATCGGTTTTTAGGTTTGTTTGCTCGTTGGAAATCGCTCTATCAGAATGAGAAAACTTTAAAGATGTGTTTGATTAAAAAGATGAAAACACATTTTAAAAAATTCCTAGATGAGATGATTAATCTTAATGACAGATAGGACCTCTGGAAAAATAGTTTTATTCTTTGATGACGAATGGCATATATAGATGAAAACATAAAATTTAAGAACAATAAGGGCTATCGGAAGGAAACACTTATCAAAGGTAGGTTGAATTATATTAATACTTTTAATCATATTGTTTATACGGTAGGAAATCTTTCGTTCAAGGAATGAAGTCATGATTTAGTTACTATGGCAACATGGTCCTCAATCTGACTAAGGTTCAGAATCTTCTTGTGCTTAAGAGTGTTTTCAAATATTGTTGAAAACTATAGAAATGTATCATTGAATAAAGAATGTTGATTAAGTTATAAGCCGTTTAGAATGACCATTTATCTGATAAATAAAAATATTTTGTTCAAAGAAACTTTATTACCTGCTATGTAAATATAATTATGTAATATCGGATCATGTATCTCAGACTTACTAAGAACATCCAAGTATAATTCTTTTGTGGTTCAATTAAGTACCATCAACTTAATTATTCATTGTATTACAGATTTTCAATTATACTCGTAGATTTATTCATTTTAAAAGCTATCAATCTTACCTAGTGAATTATTCTTTGTACGATATTAATTAACTGAATTATACGGTGGAGGGCAATAAATACATTTCTGTCTAATTGGTTTTTTGGGTTGTTAATACATTTTGTGCAATAATATAAAATAATTAAAATCATGATATTCTTTTTTATGTTTGATAATTACTGAGAGAATCAAACAGATTTTTAAATTAATAAATGAGTTCAGCTAATCTCTACCTTTTTGTGTCCAATTTAAATCGACTACTTAATAGTTAACTGATCAAGTCAAAATGCTATCGTGCGTAAAATTATTGTGACACAAACATGAGTAATGGATTAATAGGCCATAAGTTACAGTCAATTGTATTTGCATTATTATCATGACATGACTAATTGTATTGATTAGAATGAGTTTTCATCAGGTTAGAAATATTCAAATGACTATCGTACATTCAACAATACAATGGAATACCCAATATTGTTAACCAATAGAGTTAAACATCTTTCAAGAGTAATAAATCTTGTGCTTTTATTGTTTTATGTTTGTGTTTATTTCATATACAGATCACAATGAATCAACAAAAGTTGGCACTGCTTCTAGGCACCATACTGTTGGTTGTCTTGATACCGGCTAGAGCTCAGTATAGTATCTCCTCATATACGAGTCACATGGGTGGTCATGGCGGAGGTCGGAGAGGAGGTTATGGTATGCCTTACACAGGTGGTCATGGCGGAGGTCATAGCGGTGGTTACGGTATGCCTTACACAGGTGGCCATGGCGGAGGTCGGAGAGGAGGTTATGGTATGCCCTACACTGGTGGCCATGGTGGAGGTCATAGTGGTGGTTATGGTATGCCCTACACAGGTGGTCATGGCGGAGGTAGTAGAGGAGGTTATGGTATGCCTTACACTGGTGGTCATGGCGGAGGTCATAGTGGTGGTTACGGTATGCCTTACACAGGTGGTCATGGCGGAGGTCATAGCGGTGGTTATGGTATGCCTTACACTGGTGGCCATGGTGGAGGTCATATATTTGGCAGGAGAGGAAGATATTAATACTTTAGCTCTCAATCATTTGACGGTGGACCATTTAAACGTTGTAGAAAAAGTTTTGGAACTTTCAAAATAAGATTCGTTATCAATGTTAAACATCAAATAGGCATACCTCCTTTGTTATTATATCTTTTTTGCCTGAGATAAGTGAAATTTATTGTACATGTAAACAATTAAATGAAAATGCGATTTGTAAAATATTTTGTTATTTACGTTAATTTATCCTGAGAATAAATACAAAAAAAAAATTGTCCGTCCGGAGCTTCAACGTATCTTGTATGATAATGATAATAATATTTTATTCAGAACTGTTTACCAGTGAAATATGGGCTATATTATTAAGAATGACCTTATTATTTAGTTATTGCCTTAAATGGATAGCAAACTACATGCACTTGTCGAGTGATATGATTTCGTCGTGTGCATTCTCTAATATATATGATTGAATGATAAGAAACTTGAAAGATGACAAATTGAATATTATGTAATATATCAACATAACCATGGACGTAGATTAAATAAACTACTGTTTTAAACAATGTTAATGTTATTGTAAAGCTGAACTATGAAATTAAAGAAAATAAAACAGTGATTTTTTAGTTTTTTTTGTTTTTTTTTGTTTTTTGTTGTTTTTTTTGTTTTTGTTTGTTTGTTTAGCTGAACCAAAATTATAACCACAAATGTGTATCACATATCAAGAATGCATTATAATACTGCATGTTTGTAACGTCGCTTTTTATTGGATAATCGTGGTGTTTATATTATTAGTTATAAAGATTGTTGACAGGTTATATGGTCCTATATAAACAGCTGTTTGTAAATGTAAGGCGAGGGTTATATTGCAAACATCCGTTTATATACGGCCATATTTCCTGTCAACAATCTTTATAACGAATTTATAATACAGCACGCATCATTTTTAGAGAAAAAGTAAGATTTCTTAATGAATCGACAGTAGCCGTGTATATAAACGTCATGATAATCCAATGAAAAGCGACGTTACAAACGTGCAGTACTATAAAGTTTTGTATACATGTCTTCTGTCGATTCTGAAAAATTCTTACCTTTTTTTCTCGTCGATTCTGAAAAAATCTTACCTTTTTTTCTCAAAAAAAAATAATGCTTGCTGTATTATAAATTCGTTATTAAGATTGTTGACAGGTTATATGACCGTATATAAATGGCTGCTTGCAATATAACTCTCGCCTAGCGGCTCGGGTTATATTTACAAATAGCCGTTTATATAGGGCCATATAACCTGTCAACAATCTTCATAACTAATAATATATGCTACATACTGACATCTATATCATCTCTTCTATGAAATATACATTTATTTCACTAGTACTTCGATATTGAAAACAAGAGATATGCCTCACATATTGTATTTACAAAAACTAAACAAATACAATCAGTAAACAAAATCTAGTTAAAGTTTGGAAATTTCAAATGAATATAAAACGTTAGTAAGTCCTAGGTAATCGGTCTGGGATACTTAATTAAATACTAGTATATACATTTCATGTACATTGTTGTAGATTATATACGTACATGTACTGAGCAAACCGGTAACAAAGGGCGTTAAAGATATTGCACCTTTTAGCTCGCACGATCAGAAGCAATCATACAATGTATGTAATTTCACTATCCGTTTAGTTCTCATTCAGAAGGTATGTTAATAATTTTACGGAGAAACTATCCATTGCAGTAACTCACAACTTTGTGATATGGATAAAAAGAGGGAGAAAAAAGATGCCCCACAAGGCTGTACATGAACCATGGTAAACGAAATCACTGTTCCTTGTCTTGCGAGCTGACACAATTCAATGCGTACCCTGTTCTTTGATTGAAAACACATGATACTTCCGATCACTGTCGTTTTATTGGTATCCTATACATTTTAACTTTTACCTTTCTTGTGATAACTGGAAGTAGACTTGTTTAGTCAGTGTACCAGAGGTTTTTAAAAGATAAGACATTCAGAAGAAATAATTCGATTATATTTACTGAATGATTGAACACGTGAATATATTGCAAAATGATTTTGCAATTTGGTTCAAACAATGTAATAACCAAATGTATTCAGCTCAGGGAAAAAAATGTTCCGTGGTTCATTTCTGTATTGTTTTATTATGGTCCTTAAATTATAGAATCTAATACTTACAGTGTTTAGGATTGAATACTGCTTCAGACGGTCCTAGGGGGTGTAGGAGATTTACACCTTTTTAATATCTTTCATAAACAGACTATATCTAACCGAGTACTAATCTACACCTTTATTCTTTTGTTTTAAGGTGTCTAGTATTTTAAGAATTTGAAATTAAGAAATCAAGACTGTAACTTTTGACGATAAATGTTACATCCTCACTAAATGTCTGACACACCCGAACCAAAGGCAACAAAACTTTCTCTAAAAATGACTGCAATTTAAGTATTGGTAAATATCTAATCGAGGATGAAAGGGTCTAAAAGCATTTTGATTTATTTTTTTCAATAATAGTTCAAATCATCAAAAATAATTCAGATTTGTAAGACTTACCGTTCAATTTCCTAAAAATGGAAATTGGAGTTTAACCATCATATGTTTTACCGGAAACCAAAATATCTTTCTAACCGATACACATTTCGGTGAGCCATATGAAGTTGGTCCCCGTCCTCAAATAAAATTTTGATCCCATCAATTATTTTTGAAAGAAATGGTTAAGGCGGTTTAATTTAAGATACGAGATTGAATAAGTGAACAGGTGTGGACCTCAACATTTAGCCAACGTTGTGGTGTTGGTAGTTTTCACTCCAGGTCAGAACAGTTAGCCAATTCTAGTTTCACCAGAGCACAGTTAGCAACCACAGCGTTTACGGGCAGACTGTCAAGCAGTGTACCAGTACTATTATCATTTTCGCAAGGAACTAATAACCTCTGCTCATACCAGAGCAGAGCGTACAGCCGTAAAGGATTTTATGGACCAAAGAAAGGATTTCATGATCATTCACAATGACAGTGATCTGCACCGTTCGGGAATCAAAACCCTTGTCGCGATTCACGGCCCAACGCTCTACCTAGTGAGATAACCAGGCGGTTGTTTAAGAAATAATATATCCCAAACTGTGATTTTATCGCTCAATAACATCACTGTTTGAAGATCGGATGCGAGGAATTGTATATAATGATGCGCATCCGAACGACAAACAGTGATGTTGACAAACAGTGATGTTATCAAGCGAACAAATCACCGATTTGGATATATTATTTCGACATCATCAAATAAATTTATGCTGCTGTACTTGATATTAAGCTAAATTGAGCCTGATTTGTTTCCGTACTTATTTTTGACAGCGCGATACATTTTAGTGGTTATGTCACGTGTATAATGATTACGTCACATGTCTAAATACAGAACGTCAAACAGTGATTTTATTGCACACACTTTCAATAGGGAAAATGCGGGTCGTGTTAGAATATACATCTAGGCCTCTATTAATAATTCATCATTGACGTAGAGACAAATAGTTAACCCTCATATGTCTCACTCATTCGTTAGTAAAGTTATTTACGTAGTTATTTAGTATTAAATATATAGATCTACATAACAATTTACCACTTTGTTTCTTTCTATATATACTCTTTATTTCCGCTTTTCATTGATTACAATACATACAAGATGAAATACATACATATGATACATGATTTTGACAAAAGTGCACTTTAATATATTGTTAAACAGACATAATTAAGTTCAAGTTAATAGTTTCATCTATAAGCTTCTATATGGTTATATTAACAACATATAGATAATATCAAAGATCAATAAGTATTTAAGTGTTATTCTAACACGACCCGTATGTTTCTCTATTGAACATAGAAGAACCGAAAGTGTGTGTTATTATCCTATAAAATCACTGTTTGACGTTCTATATTTAGACATATGACGTAATCATTATACACGTGACGTTACCACTAAAATGTGACGGGCTGACAATAAGTACGGAAACAAATCAGGCGCAATTTAGCTTAATATCATGTACAGCAGCATTTATTTGTTGATGTCGTGTTAGAATCGAAATAATATATCCAAATCGGTGATTTTATTGCTGGATAAAATCACTGTTTGTCGTTCGGATGCGCATCATAATTATATCACTCGGGCTACGCCCTCGTGATATAATTCCTCGCATCCGGACTCCAAACAGGGATTTTTTGGCAATAAAATCACAGTTTGAGATATATTATTTCGATTCTAACACGACATCAACAAATAAATGCTGCTGTAGAATCACAAGTCTTACCGAAACGAAATATAAGCTATGCATATTCAAGACTCTATCGTCTTTCAACAAAATTAAGAAAATTTGTTCGAGTCTCTTCAAGTGAAGTACAATTTAAGATTCATTGAAGATTAAAGTCACTTGTTTAAGAACCACATTTATTGCATGTTTTAACATCACTTTGCTTTGCTTCAACAACAACTTTAGCAGTACATAATGCATGTTTAATTGAATTTAGAGTCGGAATTTCTCCATAATATTGATTGGCCTATATCGGTATGTAAAACTTTTGAAGGCACAAAATCATCATTTCTGTTCATACTTTCTGACCAATGCTGTATACGATATTTGCGTATACAGCGTTAAAAAAATGTTCGCTTCCATTGTAACTTGTCAGGAAAGATTGTTGTTTGTAAGTATTATATTGCCTTAGAGCTCTACAAATGTCAGGTACATTGTATATATCCGCTAAATGTCCACTGAAACGTCTGTTTGCATAGAGGTTTAGCCTGAAATTAAAGATTTTTCTTGTCAATAAAGTTAAAGCATTGTGCAACGTTTCTACAGGAAATAAAGCTTTCTTATGACAATTTCTGCTATAGCAGGTAACCACCCCAGCATGCTTAGAGCCATTTTAGTTCGAGTTCGCCCTGAAAAATGATGAATGCATTTGGCAACTAACCGGAGCAACTTTGCCATTTAAAGTATTTCGGTGTCTATCAAATCAATTCATAGTTCTGCTCCGTAAAAAGCAGTTGTAAAAGTAAATTCAAGAGTAAGAAAAAACTCGTTTTCATTTCTGAGGCTTCAATAATGTGCATTTAAGGAACGATACATTAAGCTACTAGTCTCAGTGGATTAACAAAATCACTGTAACATGTCCATACATTCAAATGTGTACCATATCATTTGTTACTTTTGATTGGGAGCCTAAATGTTTTAACTTCTATTAGATGTTGAAATAGAAAAAAATAAAGAGCGCACAAAACAACAAAATTGAAAATGTTACAGGCTCGGTTTGATTGAGTCTGTTCATTTATATACTGAATACATTTCAACAGTATAAACACACTAAAATCATACAAAGAATAACAAAAATTGAGCCGTGTCACGACAAAACCAACATAATGGGTTTGCGACCAGCATGGATCCAGACCAGCCTGCGCATCCGCGCAGTCTGATCAGGATCCATGCTGTTCACTATCAGTTTCTCTACTTGTAATAGGGTTTGTAAGCGAACAGCATGGATCCTGATCAACTGCGCGGATGCGCAGGCTGGTCTGGATCCATAAGGGTCGCAAACGCACTATGTTGGTTTTGTCGTGACACGGCTCAA